CCCGCTTTGACAGAATATAGAAGTTGTGCAAGAAAGATCGCCGTCTATTCGATAAAGATTAATGTTGGCGATAGTAGTTAATCCCACCATCTGGATTTACAGTCAGAGTATTATTCTGCAATTACACAGATCTATTTTAAAACAGAACTGTCATTCCTAAGTTACTATTATATTGCTTGCTGCATGTTTCAGAAATCACCATAGGCTTTTAAGAATGTGAAAAAAATTCTTTCACCTAACTTCGCTCTTTGTACAATCTTTTCTTGTCGTTGCTTGTTCTTCACGACAGAAACTAAGACTTCAGAATGGAGGACAGCCACAACGCTGCGAAATATTGTTGCAAACCGTAAATCAGAGACAAAACCGGTGTCTATAGTTACCATAAATAACCGTCCCCCGCACGAATGTTTCCTAATTAATCGTTTGGGCACATGATGAGGCTTCTGCTCTATAGAATAACGTAGGTTTTTTACTTCGGGCTTAACCTACGAAAAGCTAAGAAACAAACAACTCATCACCTGCGGCTACAGTCAGCTCACAGAAATTTTTTAAGTGTTGTTCCACAATGATTCAAATCATTTCCCTTTAGAATGTCTGGCGAATAGGCAATTGAAGTTCAAATATAAATGTGACCTTAATTTGAAAGTCCTGGATTTCTAAATAGTTGAGAAGAAGAATCAGCTGCATTTCATAAAACGTGAAAGATAATGCGACAGAGAATCGATTTGTCCCCCAGATATTTTCCGCATCCGACGTAGCTCCAACAGACGGCGATGCTCATTTGCTCGTCTTTTCTTGCTGCTCAAACTTTTGGTACTTGTTCATCACTTCCGCCCACGTGATCTTTCCAGAACAAAGACTGCGAACTATTGTTGGCAATTCACGTATCTAAAATGAAATGTGAGATTATTTTTATTCAAACCACTTAGATAACTTTAAATAATAGAAAAACAACGCAACGAATAGCACAAATTCACAATACAGAAGTTTTTAGACGTTTTTAATCAAATCTGATTGGCCTTTCGAGAGTAAAATCACAACACAAACAAAAACGCATGAAATATTTTAGTTAAATTAATTTAATCGATATCGTAAATTCCACAGAACAAAAATTAATCCCACTGCTTTGAACAACTAAACCCAGAAATTGGTAGTAATTCGGTTACTTATGAACAACAGGGACAGCATGGTATCCTGTTTGGTCCTGTCAGAATGAGAGAGGAACACGGCTACTGTATTCGAGGTGAGCGCCCTTTCTAGTAGTGTTTTGCCCAGACTCACATGACTATCCAGTATAATTATGATAATAAACACACTGATAATTCTACCACGACAAAAAGCTTTATTATTTACATTATGTAAGATATTTCTGACGATAACTAAGATTTTCATACAGTTAAAAAAAGGTGAGATCGAGTTCGAATCCAGTTGACAAGGAAATCAGAAAAAAAGATATCAATTTGCCCGTCAACTTTGAACTTATGAATTTTTTCTGAAATGATTTTAACGAAAGAAAGTTTGTAACAGTAGAAATGTCGGTCTTCTTTACATTTTCACTGATAACGCTGTCTGAAAGCCTTCGTTTCATAAAGTTAATGGTGGTGCATTGATCTCCATTTCTTATTACTGTATTTTCCCATCGATTTCGCGCGCTCTATCGATACAAAAATTCCAGTCAACGTATAAAAAAAACAAGGTTGCGCATAATCCAATAAAAAACGAAAAAATATTCACAAATACTCGAGGATGAACGAATAAACAAACTGTTTCTTTTCATAAATCTAAAAGCTCCTGATGGGTTAGGTTTAAAAAAGCTTCTTTTTCCTTTTCTACAACCACTCTTACCCTCAACAAAATACTGGTTGTTGACACCCCATGTCTTCGATCTCTCTAAAAGAACCCACTCGATAAGTGTTTTTTCGAGCTCTGACCAGAAGCATCTCCTGTACTTCATTGCACGCTTCTTCTGGTGTAAACATTATAAGGCTGGTTTTTCTTTCCTCCCTTACCGTACACTAGACTCTCTAACGTTAAGTTTCCTGGCTGCCTCGCGATTCCCATTTTTTTCGCGTAATTAACGGCTTCCAGCTTAATCATCGCTGTATAAAATCTTCTCTATGGCAATTTTCTCAGGAGCCACTTTCAATTCTTAAAACTAAACACTTGCAGATAACACGTTTTCGAAGACCAGAAGCAATGTGGTGACTATTGTTAATTCTTCTGTTCGTTTGTTTTAGATATAGTCAGTCATATTATTCCATTATTCATTTGTCTGAAAACTGCCGTTTTTCAGACAAGAAATAGGCAACACTCTATTTTTACATTTTCAGCATTAAATATTACAAGGTGCACGTTATCTATACATTTTAATGAGCATAAAAAAGTATAATGTACACGATACACATAAGGCGCGCGTTCTTGATGGGAAAATACGGTATCAGCCAAATGTGCATAATTTTGAAGGTAGAGTCGACAGTATCTTTGTGGCATACATAGTAGTTAGTTTTATTCTTCTTTCTCACAAAGTGGTCTTCATTTGTCAGCGTCAAAACGAAGAAAAGCTAGTGATCTGACCGGGCGTGAATCGAAATGATTTGCCACAATAGCATTTACTTGTGTACGGTAACAGAACCTACATATTCAAGTGCAAATATGACAGTCAGGCTTCAAGCCTGTTTCCTTGTCAAGCTTCCATGCTTCACACTAACAGACCAAACGATAGCATTCATTTTTTGATCAATACGATCCGTTAGACGCAGGACGGTTTCGACTGTCAAATTTAAAGAGATAACTGTGGTCCTGGCTTGAGCTGTGAAGATTCTGTTCACCGATTGTTTCTTGTTTCCGAGCCAGATGGCAACAGAGAAAATTTTGGGTCGTGTCGGGAATTAGAAGTTTATTTGGCATGGCAAAACTTGCTACTTTTTACCGGCTCTCCATGAACATCGAACGATGACGCACGTAGTCCGTCACTGCAGATTCTAAGATTTGACTATCAATGAGAAAAGCTGTTACAAGATGTGATAGATGAAAGTTTTCCCTGGATTTGCATCTTACGGTATTCTCGATGCAACATTCAAGAAGATGGTGAATTTCAAGCAGGCGGTTGTTTCAGAGGAATAAATGCAGTAGAATAATGGTAACAAAGTACCTATAATGGTCATCGTGGTAGTAGTGGCTATGACATCAGAACCATAGACTGTAACCGCTTTAAACCGTGTTCTATCATTCTAAGTTCAAGCAACAAATAACGTATCCTCTTAGAACAAAAGAACCATCGTTTTTTATAACTATAAAAGCCAGACGGAACAGGCTTCGCTTTTAATGCATCTTACCGATGCACGAATCTGAGACATCGAGTCCCGGTCGCGAAGTGTCGCAGTATGCGGCTCGGCCAAGGTGTCGAAGTCAACAGTGATACCGTAAGGAATACCAATCTCGTCCGTGCGCGCATACCGCCGACCGATCGAACCGCTGCTGTCGTCAACTTTGTGGCTGATTTCGCAATCACGCAGTAGATCAGCTACAACAGAATAGACGACTAAGACTGAACAAGAAATTCAGTACCTACATATCTGTTGGACGAAAGGCTCGAACTGTGCGCCGCTGCTCAACGGCAGAACCGAACATTGGTATGGAGCAATGTGCGGAGGTAACGACAGGAACTAAAACTCAAACACTTGCAAAAAACACATCTTAAATGCATGTTCATTTACTCACTTACCTTCAATTTCGCTTTTTGTCATAACATTCAAATAGAATGAAAGATCATATCACTTGAGAACAACTTCAGAAAAATTTACATATGAAATGTTGCACTAGTTTCATTTCTAGCAACTGCATCAACTTCTTACAACTTTGAAAATACGATTCTCATAAATATTCTGTCACAGAAACATGGAAAAGCGGACTGAATGACAGGACGACAACTTTAAACTGAATGCTCCAGAATCCCTCGTTTCTACGATAGTTGCGAAGGTCTGTAATGAACAATGAAACGCTCAGCATATGAAGTTGTTTACCTCGTCATTGAGTATACGCTGCGGCGCTGATATCCATTTCTGTGCAATTAGTCAGAACGCCTTATTTTAAAAGTAAAGACTACAAATATGTGCACGTATAGCGTGTAGCCTCCTGTCTCTTTTCTCATAAAGCGCTATTCGCAACTCCTCTATCTACCTCAGAAAGTTGAAAGGCAAGTAATTTGGCCGCAACTTGAACTCGTAAAATTTTGATTATGTGAGTCTGACGCTCCGACTCTACCACTGTGCAACCCCTGTCCACATGACGTGGGGATATCAGGATATAAACCTGTAAGTTCAGACCTTACACTATTGCTGTAATTCAACGGTCGCATGAAGTTTACCAAAAACTTCAATTTGAGAGTTTCAAAGGTTACTCACTGTTCGCGCTTCGTCGCCTTGCCTGACGCTAAAATTGTGCTCGAAAACTGCGTACATGATGCGTCCAATGCCAAACGACGGCTCGATGACGGACGGCGTAAAGTCTTCCACCGACACTGACTTCGTAGTTCGCTGGACAGAGAACATCTCCTTTGTTACGTGGTAGGTTTTACCAGAGACCTCCACGGTCAGATTCCTGCGAACACATGTAGAACACAACCATATGCACGATACGAAAAGGAATACCCGCTGGTGTTAACTTCGTTTTCAAACTTAACTGCGTCTTCCAGTGTTTCAAGGTACCTTGCTAGAGCTGCTCCTTCCTTTTTATATGTTTTGCCGATCACCGCTTTGTTTGGTACGCACTGCACAACGCTGACGGTCTTTGGTGCTGCAAGATGCCTTTCGGCTACAAGTTTGGTATTTGTTGCTTCGGAATGCCGCGAAAGATCAAAGCAAGATCGGTCAGCATTTCCTACACATTCGATCCAGCCCTATATCAAGTTAATATATTATTCAGTGGCGTATATAAAATGCTGTTCTGCAATACACATAAATATAGTCAATAACCCTCCCTCTCCCTGATGGGGGCCATGGGAAAAAAAGAAAAATAGGGGCATAAGCATTCCAGATAAACCACAACTGTAAAGTGAAAAATTACTTAAAATGTAAAGCTGCACGTATCTCTTCATTTACCGTAACTTTTTATGAAAACTGTCTAAAAACTTTGG